GGCTCGCTTACAAAAGGGACTAGAACCATTGAACCCGCACTTGATACGCCTCTTCAGAACATGCTTTGCACGGGCCACAATCCTGGCGAAAGGTTCGAGTGGTGTTCATACCCAAGCCAGGACGTTGTAACTACGAGACGGCAAAGGATTATACACAGAAAGAAAAACCGTACGTAAAATTAATAAACTGCTGTCGTCAATTTTTTGTACATTAATATTATGTATTGGTGATTGTTACAATGCTTTTTCATCATAGATTTATAACTAAGTACATTGAAACAATAAACTAGTCAACATTAAACGATAAATGCAAAACCTCAAAAATTAATTATTTTCTTCATCAATATAATATAAAAATTTATTGAATTAACTATTGACGATCATTAAACGATGTTTTTTATCTTTAAAACAATAAATTTTTCGTCATAGATCCATGAACAGGAAAACATAAATAATAATAAACAGTATTCATTGTCCCAACGGTCACTAAACATTGATTTTACGAACGCGCCAAAATTAATGCTACCGTACGGTGATTCAATCAACATAAACATTATTATAACGAATCGCTGTCGTAGACCGAAGGTCATCGGGGAATTTTTACATGCAATTTTTATCTTGTCAGTCTTATAGCGTCAAAAGGATAATTCCGCGTTTAACCCTAAAGCTTTATTAGTGATATTGTGATAAATATATGGAGCAAAATCAAGGTGTGTAAGCTTTTGAAGTTATTTTAAACATTTTTCATCTTTTTGGATAAGTTTTGTACCTAATATACGAAACCGAGGTGTGTGAGCTTATGAAGTTATTTTAAACACTTTTGACTTTTTTTGATATATTTTTTTTATTTTTAAGTTTTAATTGAATGAGTTTTTAGTTTTTAAAATTAAAACTTTTATTATTTTAAAAAAATAATTTAGGATTTCATGTAATTAAGGCGGTATATGTTTTAAAATTATTTATATATTTAATCTTGACTTTTTACAGGAAATAATGTTTTGGAACTTTTTAGATAGAGCATTTTGTAAACCTCTTAAGAGCCCAAAGGTTCATATTATTTGTAAATTTCTCTTGCAATAAAAAAATGTATTCACCAAAAACGTCTTTATTTTAAAGAAACCCCTTTTGTGATTGATTGCTGGGTAATTTTTTATAAGATATTTTTTTCCTATTTCTATGTTGCTAAAACAAAATGTACCCACGTATCCTGTAAACCTTTATTTTAAATAAAAAGGTAAGTAAATTTGGCAATTAATTTTAATTGGGTTTGTCTTGGATTTTATGTAAATTTAAGTAAATCATAAACTAATGCCTTTTTGTTCATAGTATTAATACTATAAGGGATCATAGATCTATGGTAATTGTTTATTGATTTAATGTAAAATTATCATAAATTAATGTCTACCGTTTATAATAATAATAACATGCTTTCATATATCTATGTTCGTTGTTTATTGATTTAACGTATTAATCATAAACTTATGTCCAACGGTCGTTATATTAACAACCGCTGTTCATAGATCCATGCTCATAGATTATTAATTTAACGTACAGCATTCATAAACTGATGTAAATCGGTTTATCGAATTAATTACAGTGAAACATAGATCCATGCTCCCCATTCATTGATTTAACGTAAAGAAATCGTAACTTGATAAATAAGAAAATTTACGAACGACTGTTCATTGTATTAACAACACCCGTCATCGGCTGAAAATTAATGTTGTCGTTCATTGATTTGATGTACTTTTTTATTAATATCACGTACCTTTTTCGTTCAGTGTACACTCATCAGTCTATCCTCGTTTCTTTTAAAAACCATGGAGAAACTGGTGGAAATATTTATAAGGGATGGGGCACTAAAAAGAAATGCCCATGCATCCTAATCAACACGCCTACAGGACAGCCATGTCGGAGACCGCTCTTCACAGCCTTGTGACAAGACTGGAGAGAGGGACCCGTCCTAAAGAGATGGCTCAGGACGCGTTTCTAGACATTGAAGGAGCATTTAACAACACCTCCTTTGAGTCGATAAATGCAGCTGCTGAGGGCTTTGGCATAGAAAATACTATTGTCAAAAGAATCCGTTATGCTTGAAAGCTCGATTGGAACTTCGGAGATCAGCTTAACTGTAGTCAGTTGCTGCCCGCAGGGAGGGGTAATATCGCCCTTGCTGTTGTGCCTAGTGCTGGATGGGCTACTTTGTATCCTAAACGAGGAAGGTATATATATACTCTAGGCTAAGCGGACGACCTCATCATTGTCGTAGCCGGAAGGGTATCAAACACTATTAAAGAGATTATGCAAAGAGCTCTTAATAAGGTCGAAAGGTGGTGCAATGATCACGGAACAGTGGGCTCACGCTGGGGGGAAAACTCAGGGCATGCAAGGGCCTGGACTGACTCTACAAACAGGGATCCCCTTTCTCACTAGAAGGGATGCAATTTCAAAGATGTATACCCCCCTCAGAAGATATAAAGTGGTTTTCCCTTCTAGAAACGACTGGAGCGAGCCTGACCCTGGCTTCCTCAAACCGGAAGGGCTTATCTGGTACACAGACGGGTCTTTAATAAAGGAAGGTGAAGGAGCTGGTGTATATGGGGAGCGACCTGGGGCGAGAATAAGCCTTGCACTAGGTCGTCACCCAACGGTATACCAGACTGAAATCTTTGCCATCCTAATATGCGCCCAAGAGAATCTCCAGAGAGGCTACTCGGGTAAACATATCGTCGTTTATCTGACAAAGAGGCGTATCTCATTTTTAAACAAAACGGTGTGAATTGAATTACGCCAGTTTGTACGGCACACAAAATGCAAAAATATTAGTTACGCCGAAACTGATTTATGCTAAAACTTTATTTGTACCTATTTATTATAGAGCTACGCCAGTTTGTGAGATTATAAAGTCGATTTTGGTGATCATTCTGGTATAATCAAAAACGAATTTTTTTGAGTTACGCCTCTTTGTCAGATAAACGACGATATCTACAAATGTAGCGACAGTTAAGCAGCACTCTGGCCTCTTCACTGGGAAAGGGTCAACTCGAGGCTTACACTGAACTGCATAAAACCCTTGAATTACTCAGTGTACTCAACAAGCTTAACCTGGCTCGTCAGGGCAGTCAAGGGTATTTATAAAGGGTCCCACTAACTGCAAAGAGGCAAAAAGATTCCTGAAACTTAACAGGAACCAGTTAAGAGCCATCACAGGAGTCCTAACAGGACACTGGGTAGTCAAATACCACCTACACAAAACCGGAGTCAATAGTAGAATAAGACACCTAGGCGACAGATATTTGGAACCAGAGGAAATAATGCATCTTCAACTTCACCAAAAGGGGGTTTGCATAATGGGACGTATGTGTACCTACGTGCTGCCTGCAAAGGCTTCCCTTCTAATTAAATCAAATCAATATATTTTTTAAAAATTTTACAGAAGATGATTTTTAAGTTTAATTTTAGTTTAAAATATAAATGTATCCTTAAATGTATCGTTAAATCAAATCAATCTTTATTGGCCACGTTTATGAAAAGTACATTTTTGTCAAGTCAGTACAAATTTGTTAAAATATAATAAATTACATATATTACATAATAATGAACGATATCACATAATAAATAAAATAGGTATAATACATAAAAATAAACATTAAATTATTATACATAAAATAAACGTTCTTGAATAGCTAGGATGTAAAATAGGTTTAAGTAACAGAAATAAACCAGAAAAATTCAAAGCATTAATGTCCAAACATTGCTTATGATACAGGCTGTTAAATTTAAAATATTTTTTAATATCTTTTAAGATATAAAAGACAAAATACTTAAATTTGGCAGGCATTACATTTTTATAAAGAAATGCAATATTTAAAGTTTATTTGGTTTTTAATATTTTACATCCCTGGTAAATATTTTTCCTGATAACTTTTTATTTCTTAAGTTTTATAAATTTTGCTTGTTCAAAAGTTTAATTTAAAAATAATTTTATAAAATCATGTAATTTTGTTTCACTAAATTTAATTAAAACAATAACCCGTAGAAGAGTACTTTTTTATATAATTAGATACAAGAATTTAATTTTATATTTAGGACTAAAAATACTTTAATAGTACATTATCTAATAGGCGGAGAAAGCGCTTATTAAATCAGACCTGAGCGAGGCAGTTAATATGCTTTCTCCGCCGTGTTGTATATTCTATTTTTTTTTTTCAAGCGTTTAATAATTCTGTACTTAATAATAATAATATCGAGTTTGCTACATTTTGTCAAAGGTTTGACGGTTTACATATGTAATATTATAAGCTTTGTGTATAAATTTATTCTACAGTGACCTGTAATTTTTAGTTATCTGCACTGATTTCGAGTTATATGCGATAGATGGAAACACTCTTATAACGTAACACATACTTACACACATTTACAAATCATTTCTAACTAAAACTGTTTACTTTTCGTGGGGTTAAAGTAGGGGAAGGGAAAACCACACAGAAGATTGCAAAAAATATAAATGTTTCAAATAGTTTAAATAAAATAGAAAATGTTAAATGTGTAATAAACCTTATTTACAATCGAAAAACACTAGACTAATCTAAATCTCAAAAATTCTGACGCTAAATGAACAAAATTAATCTAAACTAAATTATGCTCAACATTTCATAAATAGCTTACCCCTCCTTTAACCCCACAAAAAGGAAAGCCCAAATTCCAAATGATCTGTATATGTGTGGTAAGTATATGAATGTAATTTCAATGCATTTTTATTATTGTACGGCGGTGTATAATAATCTGACCTTTGAAATGCGTACAAAAATAAAATCTTTCCATTTTGTGTTATAATATAAACAATTTTATACGCTTGAAAAAAAATAATTGTAATCTATCGGCTGTATAAGAATCTATCTGCTATATTTAACATTTGTATAACAATTTTTTTCTATTTGTTTTAGGTAAATGTAAATGCTATAAAAAGGACTAAAAACAAACTCTTTAAATAAACAAAATATTTAACTAATATCATCATGTATAAAGTAAAATTATTCTAAACTAATAACTAAATGTTAAAAACAATAAACTTTTCAATAATGAATACGTTGGTGATACTCCTTAACATTCTGATTGTGGTGGTGGTAAGTGGAGGACCGGCATGGAAGGAGGTGCAGAGAGGTAGCGGACTGAAAATTGGGCAGGGTAGCAAAAACGTGACCTCTTCAAGGGGGAACGGAATTAAAATCGGCAGCGGATCAAGAGCGTCCAGAGTAACCACGACGACAATACAGCCAGAGGAGGATCATATCAACCCACCGACGGTGGCTACGTCGAATAATGGTGAGTGGATTGGCGCGCCACGGCGCACAGTGCGTCGAGTATATGCAGATGGGAATCAAAAATAATATCTTATTAATTAAATGTTTTTTTTATTATTTTTGACTATTAAAATATTAATATAAATAAATACTGTACAAGCAAATAACATTTTCTCTAAAAAATCTACAGGGCGATAGAAAAATGCATGTTTTAATTTACTCATATATTAAGGTTTATTAAAAAATGGTTTTATTAATAAAAAATGGTTCAAATCAAAAATATTTTTTTAAATTTTATGAAAAAATGTTTTTAAAAATAAACTAAGTAGTATACAGTGTGAAACAAAACATAATAATTGCCTTTGAAATGAACGGAAACAAATAGAACAGAATGTCATTGACAATTTAATATTTAGTATGACACGAAGGTGCAGAGCAGTTATTAACAATCTAGGAGGACACACCCTCCATTGATAAAGTCAAAAAACTTTATTTATTGACCAGATGAAAGTTCATTAATCGAGATATTAGTGGGACTCGGAAATAATCCAGGATATAATAGATTTATTGTTCTACTTAGGATAATGTATTTATTCTCTGAAAAGTACAGATATAAATAAAGGGCTAACGCTTGTTGCACAGACAAACATTTTTTATGACTTGTTGAAGGTGCTGTTTTGTTTGCGGAAATTTTTGCAGCAAAGTTAACTTCAGCTGGACTCCAGTTTTTAAGTAAATCTTTTATTCTCCTCTTTTTGGTTTGAGTGGTACCGTCCTCAAATTTTTTGAGTGGTCTACCTCGACTTGTTTTAGGAGTAGAATTTTTGTTTTTAGTTATAAAGAGTTTAATATTTTCTGGAAAAGTAAACCTTTGCTTGAGCCAAACTTCATTCTTTTTGAGGAAGGTCGAACGCATTCTAGCACACTGTTTCCATTTATTTTTTACTGTGAGGCAAAAATATTTGGATGTTCTATTGATTTCTGCTTCGATAGTCTCTGGGCACTCATTTACATCTATATTTAACAAAAATTTTATTTTACTCGCAACTGCTTGGATCTTTTGTATTTTATTTGTTACCCATGCATCAAATATATCAGCATTAGTACCGGTAACCAAATATGCAAAAAAGTATATCATCAAGGTCTGCAAGATTCTGCAAAAAACTAATGCAGTAACAAGTAATAGAAGAATGGACCTTGTAATTAGTATAAAAAAACTACATATGGTTTTCAATGTAATTAGTAAAAATCTTCGTAAATAGTTAAGTTAAAGTTTTTAATGTAAATTTGCACCAATTTCTATTAAAATGTGATGTAAAAGGCCTTATTTAAATATATGCTAAAAAATAGCCATTCATAAATAAGCACTTACCTTCAGAATCAACTTCCATCATAAAGTTTAACAAAACACTAATATTGGGTATAAATTAGAATTCATCAAACTACTAAACAATTTTCCTTAAATTTAACTAATCTTATTCCGTCTTTTCACAACCTTTAACTTTAATGCCTTGTATTTCAACGACAAATAACTTCGGCTAACTAAAATTGGTTATTGTCTATTTTTCATTTATAATTAATGACATGACAGTTATAAGAAATGATCCAAAGCCTACTTGTTTTTTTATTTTTTTACCACAGCTCGACGCACTGTGCGGCGCGCCGTCTCGAGATGTTTGTTTGTTAACATTGTTAAAGAATAAATCAAGGAGATAATGCTGTTGAAGTGGTAGTGAATACCACTCTAACAGCATTATCTCCTTGATTTATTCTTTAACAATGTTAACAAACAAACATCTCGAGACCAGTAGTCGTGAATGATTGACATTGTCGCTATAGCGATTGTTTCCTTTTATGTTATTAATATAATGGTAAGGTTTGTATACGAAGGTATTGATTTTTGGTTTGTTTTAGCACTTCTGAAAATAACATAAATTATTTTAGAGTCTTTAATTAAAAAATATGGCAATTAGTTTTTTAATAGGTAAAACATATATTATAAAGTTATAATATAAGTGTCAGGATTTATTCTTATAACTAGGTACAGTTGACGACATTCAAATGTGAAAGATTTTTGGGTATCAAGGGTTTTTTAAAAGAAATAAATTCCTGTAAGTCTGCATTTTCCCAGTGGCGTAACAAAGAGAGGGTAAAATATAAACAACAGAAATATATTGCATTAATTATTAACGTTTTACAGACTGGATCTTAAAATTTAATGATAGGTATACTTATATAAAAAAACTAAATTAAATTTAAGTTGTAAAAAAATTGGTTCTTGCTGATTTAAATTTAACTAAGAGCTGTATATTTTACATTAAGAAACGCTGACAGGAAAAACATAGATTACAAGTATATTTCAAAAAAGGTGTAAGAAAGGTATTTAATAAGAATGAAGACCATGATCTCTTTGAACAAGGTATCAGTCAAAATCCTTTTGGACACTATACTTTTGCAGAACCATTAGCTGCTACAACACTCTTTAGTTTTCTGGACATGGACATAATTAAATGTCGCATGCTGTGGGAATGAACATTTTTAACAGCGTGCCGCAATCGTTCGCGGTGCACTGGCCCAAAATCCTTTCGACGTATGTTTTTTTACTATGAAGCGTTGTGATTCATGTCAGGACTTGTGACATGTGATTATTGACCCATTCTTATACTATTTAAGCAGTATGAACTGGATAATTGTCCTGTAATAAAAAATAATAAATATAAATAGTTATGTGTTTGTCACCTGTTATTTGTCACCTGTCATCTGCCACCTTTTATCTGTCACAAGTCATCCGTCCTCTACCATTTCTCATCTTTAACTTGTAATCTGGCACCTGTCATATGTCATCTTTCACCTATCATCTGTCACCTGTCATCTGTCACCTGTCACCTGTATTTGTATTATTATTATTTAAAGTTTCTTTTCGTGCTGCCACAGCGTTTTCAAAGGATTTAGGCCGATGTATTTGATAAGAGCGTTGTCTTTATACTCAGAAATCTACACCTTGTCTGATAGGTCTTCGCATTCTATGTAATTCCCACCAGCGTTTCGTAAAATATAAAATATGCAGCTTTTACTTACATTTAAATCAGCAGCCACCTCACTTAAGGACCAATTTTGCTATGGCCCTTGACTTCTGAGCTTCTGTTAGATGCTGCTCGTCAACTATACACTTTAAGTACTTCACATGTAATAATATAGAACACTTATATGCAAGAGCGTCGCCAGCCAATGGGCCAGGGGGGCAAGATGGTAGATAGAGGATATAAAATCCCCAAATTCTTAGTAGGAAGTAGGTTTTGGCTAAACCTTTGGCTCAATTTTAGCCGAAGCCTAATATTCGTTGTTTGGTAACATTTTTAATACATTTTAATAAAATGGCCGAAAAACTCAACCTTGTTTGGGCACTAACAATTTGTAAATTATAGCGGCCGATGCCAAAAGTGGGTAAGGGATCACTGATAGATGTACCTTTGTATGGATCGACTCGCAATCCAATTTCGAACAATTTTGTGAATCGTGAATCGCTTTTATCGAATCCCGGTGGCTCAAAACCGATATTTTCCCCTTTGTCGTTTAAAAGACCTACCTAAATTATTCCTTTTTTTGTCCAATTTCGTTCGCTTACCGAAAATTTGGGGAAAAGTTGCTTTGGGACGATCATCAAATTTTGATTCTTAAAAACTTTTTGTATAGGGCATACAAAAAACACGAATCAAAGGGTAAAACAATGCAGTTTAACGTACTAAAAGATATTCATTATCTAACTTTTTATTTTTATTTATTTTTACATTTTTCCCTCAGTCTCAGAGATGCTGTGAAAAATATAAAAATATATTTACAATTTCTAATTAAAAAAATTTTATGCGTTTATATGGTAAATTCAACGCGTTTCCATTATTACTTTTTCCTGCTTCCACTGACCACGCTGCAGCCTAAGACGAGGCTACATTTTGTACTAACGGTACTGTTTCGTCTCAGCATGTTAGGTATTGGAGTTACCACAACCCAAATTTTCGCATTCCCAGTTTTATCCGCTGCAAATGAGATTTGCTAATTCCCAGTTTGCGTGATCTCCTTCTCAAAGATAGTATAGTATTATTTTATACTAAATCCTGCGGCATCTTTATCGTCAACGATCTTGTTTCGTTTTGCATCCACTACCGAACCAGTTTCCAAAAACTTCCTAACTAAATTTTGAAAACCGTTAGTTCATACCTGGATATCTGTATAGGTATTTATCATTGAATTCCTCGATAACTCTACTCGACAACTCAACTCTTATCTTCTCTTTCATTTTTCCAAATAAATTATGTGCTCCGTTAAATATTATTATTAAAGATGGGATATTTAGGTACTAAAAACTGAAAAATAGGTAACTAAAAAGGTACTAAAAAAGCATTTTAGATTAAAAACAGCATTTTAGGTAAAAAAAAACATTTAAAGTTCAAGTTTCGTTTATTTTTATAAAATAAGTAACATAAAATATTTTTTTTTATAAACTGACCAATAGTTAATTAAAGCTGAAAAAATAACAGGGAATACCTGATATTTACCAAATTTTCTACTATACTAACAAACGATAAAGTAACATAAAATAAAACTTTTTATATAACTTAAAGCAAGAAGGAACTAAAAATTATGGAATACCTAATATTTACCCACTATGTAACTTTACTACTTGAGTAACAAATAAGAATCTTTTCTATATTTTGAGACGAAATTTTCCCCTGAATTTTCTGTTATTTGGCCGAATTTTTTTAGATTTTCTTGCGTTCTGCACATGTTTAATTAACTTTTCATGTTGATATATATGTGATTTTTGCTTAACAGATAGCTGAAATGTATATAAATTAAAGAAAGATGTTTTAACATAACCTCAAAGTCCTTACAATTTTACAGCAAACTCTACAAAATAAGTTTTTTTCGTCAATAGAAAATATCTTATTCTTCGCCTCTATCCAACTGCTGAGTTTATTTAGAGGATTTTCTTTGGTTTTGGAAATTTTTTATAATTTTGTTTAG